GTGATATGGAATTTGGTAAGTCCACATGATGTTAAGTCTCTTAGCTCATTTTTGTACATAGGCAACAGTGAAATGTTTAATTTGATAAAATATAACCTAGGAGACTGAGTTACTTCACATTCTGCTATTCCAAATCTTTAATGTTATCTTCAGCCACAGCCAAAGGGTAAACAAAGTCAAAGTCTAACTTGAGTTTGTTCTAGTCAGGACCCAGTTGAAGCCACATGGGGCTATCAGTAAGGGTCCTACATTGTCGACCTGTCATTCCTTGCCCTTGAGGAACCTGACCCAAAATCATCTTTTGGCAATTATTTTCCCATTCACAATCCATATAGCATATTCTCACATAATCAATTTCCATAGCAGAGTATGTCATGGTTTCCACCCAATATTTAATTGGGAAGCTTAAGTAATAATATCCCCATTTATTTTATATATCCAAGTAGATACATCCAAGAAATAGACCAAAGCATAAGCCTTTGTCTTCTAATCCCAGGTTTTATCTGATGATTACTGACATGGCCCATTTTAATTCTTCTACAGAATTTCCACACATTTCCATAATTTACTTCTCCTCACACTAGTATTCTTAACTGTCCACTATAAAGTGTTATTTTATTAGGATGAAAATCACAGGTTCACACTTCACAATAACAGAAACTAACCATTCTTCTGGTGGTTCTTTCATCTGTCCCAAGGGCAGGGCTGCAACCTGCTCATGGATACAATGTACTTTCCCAGAGTCGCATCTGGTTACTATTCCATTTCTATGTTATCCGTCATTGGAGCTGATCTGTCATCATTGGAATAGCTCTCTGACATTACCTAATAATATAATACGTATTTTAGATCTTAGACTTACTTGATGTCTTTCTACAATGGGAGCTATCTCCACCAAAGCCCAGTTTCAGGACAACAGCGGTCTCTTGGAATGACTACATGTAGCTACTGCCATCAGGTTACTTGCAAATCTAAGTCTCCCAGTGGTCACCAAGTGGAAACAGTTGTAGACTTCTTCCAGGGAATTTAGCCTGCATATGTCCAGATAGTAAATACTTCCAAAACAATTTATGTAACAGCATCACATTGTCTTGATTTTGCTGCTTGAGCTATAGTGCTTCCTTTAAAATTCTAAGTCTCTTTTGTTCCAGATCCCATTCAAACTCACATTTCTCTTTGGTCACTTGATGTATAAAAGATAATAATACATTGGGTGCAATATATTTACCCTCCAAGATTCAAATAGCCCTAGAATCCACTGAGCCTCATTCTAATTAGTATGGTCTGGCAAATGTTATGTACTGTCTCTGGAAAGACTCCTATACTTCCAGCCCATGTTTTTCACTCAAAATTGACACGAATGAGTTATCACAATTCTCATTTTCCCCTGGCTTTGTTTTCTAATAAATTATCATAATGGTATCATTGTTATGAATCAGCTGACTTTTGATAATGATCAAGCATAAATCTGTCTTATTAGGTTATGACAGTGTACCAGAGAATGTAAGTATTTTTGAGGGTGGATGGAGAATGTATACTGTTGCTCCCATGAGAACGTAAGTTAAGCCTGGCTTTCTTTTGATATGGGAATGGAAAACAAAGCATAAGAAGGAAATTGTATAATTTGTTACTCTCTCTATGTAGTTTATTATAATATATATGTATATAATAGATAGACATATACATACATTATTATTGGTCTCAATTCTTCACTCCTTTCTGCAATCACTAACCCGCCATGACCTCATTGTTGCAGAGGCTGAATTTTTTAGCCCCTTGGTTTTGGTTTACCCATATGACTTGCTTTGGCCAATGGCAGGTGGGCAGAAGTGATGATGTGCTAGTTGCACACCTAGGCTTTAAGGCACATTGCATGACTCCCCCACCTTCCTGCAATTCTGCTGCACAAGAGGAACCTCCCCCAGGAGGCTCCTGTCTCAGCAGTTTCAGAAAGCACACACCTGGAGTAGAGCAGCCCTGTCAGCCTACCCCAATAGCCACAGCTTGAAGCATAGCCCTTCAGCTGAGCCCAAGCTGGGATAACAAAACTTCAGCCAACCCTCAGATGCAGGGAATAATAAATGATTCCTCTTCAAGGCACTAAATTTTGAAGTAGTTTCTCAGGCAGCAAGAGTTAACCAAACATGAAGTACTAATAGGTCAAATTTCTTGTATCTCTCATTTTAAATGCCCTAATCAAGTGCTTAATTTGAACTTGTGGATTTAAGTTGAAATCTTAGTAAATGTTTGTCATATATTGGGAAATGTAGAATAACTTTAGATTTACTATGATTTTAAGGTCAAGATATTAGATCTGTAAGAATCTTTTAGTACTTGGGAAGGTCTAGTCAAACAACTGAACTGCTAAAATAAGAAATTAAATATATTAAATTTTGAGATGGAGTTTTAAAATTTTGGAAGGTTTGAGTCACTGAATTTTTAAATAAAACCAAAATATATTTAAATGCCTTTAAAAAGGGATTAGTATTATCTATTAAAGCTAAGCATGTACATACATAGTAATTCTGTCCTAACTATATACACCCAATGGAAATATTTCCCTTTGTTCTCCAAAAGGCACATACTGGAATGCTTATACTAGCACTGTTTGTAATAGTCCCAAACTGAAAACTGCCCAACTGCCCATCAAATAGATGAGAATAAATGATCTTTATCTTTGTGCTATTATATGAATCAAACAAACAAATGCATTATCACATGAAAGAAGTCAGACCCAAAAGAGTAAATAGTTTATAAGACTAGTTATGTAAGGGATAAAAAAAGACCACTCTATGCAATTAAAAGTCAGAACAGTGGCTATCCTAGATAACTAGCCTGGGCGTAACGGGGACTTACAGGATACTGATGATGTTCTGTTTCTTATCTGAGTTCGAATTTCATGGGTTTGTAATGTTTGTCAAAATGTATCTCGCTATGTATTATACTTAAGAACCATGCACTTTTTAGGTGCATATGATACTTTAGCTTAAAAAGCTTTTTATTAAAGTTTAAAACCTTTTGTAAAGGTGAGCCAGTTTAAACTAATTAATAAGAATTTTAGCAAACTTTTTTATCTGAATGAGGAACTAGATATGAAACTTCCCAAATCTATAAGGGAACATATTATAGTGCCCCTCCAGCTCAGTTAATCCAATAGTAGTAGCCCTGTCCATGATTAACTTTCTTTTTCAAATAATAAATCACTCTTCCTGAGCAGATATGACCTACAATGTGCTGATCACCCTTCCTTGTTCTTCTAGATAAAGTAATTATTCCTGGGGGGTAGGGGTACGACTTGAGCTAGATCAATTGAGGTCCTTTTCTGTATTATTTCACAATGAAACTGGGAAATAAAAATCCTGTTTCACTTCAGGTCACAAGACTGAATTAATGTCAGCCTGAAGCTTGGACTCAGAAGATGTAGATTTATCATGATTGCTATCCTGAAAAATACAATATGATATCACTCATATGTGAAATCTGAAAAAAAAAGACAAATGAACTCATAAATAAAACAGAAACAGACTCTCAGACATAGAATATAGACCTGTTACTGCCAGGACAGAGTGGGGTGGGAAGGGATAAACTGGGAGTTCGAGATTTGCAGATACTGACTGGTATATATAAAATAGGTAAACAAGTTTATGCTGTATAACACAGGGAAGTATATTCAATATC